TCTTCAGTCCGTTTGCTTGTTCTGCTCCCTGCTCTGTCTCTGGTGAATTCTGTCACCCTCCCATGCCTCGGGCCTATACCTCAGTTCTTGTATAAATAAATAAATCTTCAAAAAAAAAAGGCTAGAACTGAAAAAACAAATCATTAAAGTTGCAAAAGCTACAAAATTAATACGCAAAAATGAGTTGCATTTCTATACACTCCTAATGAATTATCAGAAAGAAAAATTAAGAAAATCCCATTTACAACGGCATCAAAAATAATTAAATTCCCTAGGAATAGAGAGATTGGGGTCAGAATGGGGGGGCTGCAATTGTATGGGGAATATAAAAATAAAATTTATTATTAAAAAAAAAATTAAAACATTTAATTAAAAAGGAATAAACCGAAAAAAAAAAATTAGAGGATGAGGAAGAGGAAAAAGGAAACATTAAATCTTATGATTTCAGGAGAGGTTTGAAACATATGTGTGATGTCAGCAGACAGGCCCAGAACTCCCCATCCTGGAAAATGGTGCAGACAGATGGGAAAGCAGACATGGGCCCCAGAGGTCCCACCTTGGCCACAGGATATACCACAATAATTGACGTGGCATTCATGGGAGCCACCCCAACAATTGTTTTACCAAAGGAAGAGAGTGGCAAGAAGATGGGCTACAGCTAATTCTGAGCTGATGAGGAAGGAAGACCCAGGACAGGCAGCCCCAGTTCATACTGCTACCCTAAGACCAATGGCACAGCTGGTGTGTTCCCTGGGAGAAGCCCCATCATCCTCTGCCACCTCTGTAGTCCCTGTCATGGGTGGGCTCTGCTCTGACAGGACAAGCAGAAGTAAGGCAGGGAGGGCATCCCTGGTGGTGCAAGGGGTTAAGACGCAACCTATGAAGCTCTCCGCAGCCACTGCAGCACGAGTTTGATCCCTGGCCAGGGAGCTAACCACATGGCGCAGCAGACCTCTCCTGACTCGCCTGCTGCTCCCCTCAGCAGTGTACTTCAGTCAATCTGCCTGCTCTGTTCCCCACTCTGTCTCTGGTGAATCCTCTCACCCACCCTGTATCTCTGGCCTGTACCCCAGTTCTTGTATGCATAAATAAATAAATCTTAAAAAAAAAAAGAAGTAAGGCAAAGCAGTGGGCTGCCACTGTGGAAGCAGCATGCTCCAGACCCAGGAGGCCCAGCAGACCACTGAGTAAGATCCAGCCACAGCCACCGCTACCGCCATCCACATGAGTGAACCACTGCAGGCATTCAGCCTGGGGGCCACAGGATGAAGGATATCCCATGGGAGCCAATAAGACCCAAGTTAAAACTGCCCAGCAGAGCCCAGGGGCATCATCTGTGACTGCAGCCCCTGGTCGTGGAGCTGTGGTTTCTCAGACAACAATAAAAATACCTCCTTTCCTCCTCTCCATGACTCAGTGACCTCACGCTTGAACTCACCTGGACACGTCAGCCCTCTGCTTGCCCCTATCTAGAACAACTGCTTTATTTCTGAACCATTGCTTCATCTATTAGGGATTTAAGGTGTGGAAGACGGTGAGAAAAGGCTGTCCAAGGACAGCCACCTGTCTCTGGAAAGGCAACCTCACCTGCTTGCTCCTCTGTCTTCACATCTTTGGTCATTTTGGGGAAGTGGGGCACTCCTCTCCTCAGGCAACCTGTGCCTACACACCACTCTGAAATCCTACACCAATTCCCCAAGTTCAGGGAAGCCTCAGCAAACTCAGTGGAAACCTATAATTAGTGTGCCAAAAAAAAAGTTTTCTTCCAAAACATTTCTTAGAATTTTCCAAAATTTATAATTAAGTCTTATTTTATTTTTCTAATATAATCTGATTTCGTAGGAGAAACTACCCAAACCACCACATTAGCCACAAAAATACGAAACTGACTTTGGCCTCCTATGGCTCTGGGCTCTGCTAATTAATTTTCATGCAACTATATTTTATGCTCACATGGCCCAAAGCCCTGGGAAGAGCCCAAAACCCTTCGGGCATCACACTGGGCCATTTTCCAGAAAAGCCAACTATCCCTAAACTAATCACATACAGGGTGGGCTTTACAGTTCATACTCCCTCTGGCACCTCCCTTCTCCTTCTTTATGTCTGAGCATTCAGGTCAGTCCTTAAATGGTGGCCTTGGTGCCTGCCTCACTTTCCTCCCTGGGTCACCTTCTCCTCTCCCTATCCATGCACACACAGCTAGGGGCCCTGTGTGCAAGAGGCCAAAGTCAGTCTGTCTCCACACCTGTCGGTCCCAGAGATGCTCATGGATGTGAGAAGAGCATGCAAAACTCTTGAAGCAGTAGCAGTTGCAGGACTTCACATACCCCAGGAGAAAGGCCAAGTCTCCCTCTCCAAGCACCCCAACCCCAAAGAGCAGGCAGCAAAGGGAGAGATGCAGGGAGCAGGGAGTGTCCCTCAGTGTAACAGAGGAGGAAGGGAGCCAGATGTCGGCTTTATCACCTTCCACCCATCAGGAATGATGTGGTGACACAGCCCAGGCCCATGACGACTTGGTCTATGTTTTCTACCATGGAGCATCAAATGAGTGAGGATGAAAGGAGGCTTCACATTCCTTTCACAACACACACTCAGTCCACAGCGGTGGTCCAGAGTCACCTTCGAAAACTCAAAACGTAATCCCTAACACTTAAAAACTTCTACAAGAAAACGGAGGAGCACACATCCTCACTCATTTGATGCCCATGTGGTGGAAAATGTAGACCAAGTCATCACGGGCCGGGGCTGTGTCACCTCCACCATCCCTGATGAGTGGGAGCTATTAAAGTCAACATCCAGCTCCCGCCCTCCCATTACACCAAAAATGTTTGGTTAGACAAACAACATTTTTCGAGCTATAATATAAATAGCATTACAATTCGTAAAAGAAGACACTGACCACTGGACTTCATGAAAACTAAAAACGCCTCTTCTTCATACAACAATGTTAAGAAAACAGAGAGGTCAAAGTCGAGGTGAAAATATTTGCAAATCAGGTATGTAATGAGGGACATGGAGAAAATACAAAGAGCTAGGGACCACTGAGTCCCTTCCTGGTGGACCAGGAAGGGCCAGGCCCAGAATGCTCCAGGGAGCATTGCTCAGCCCCCAGCCACCAGCCCCCACCCACAGCAGACAAAACTTACCAAAACTGACCCAAAAGCAGAAAGAGCTGGAGCTTCCACCACCACAAGCTATACCTGTGGCACAGGCCACACTCACACCCTCTGCTCCTCCATCATGCTTCTCTCAGAGCACTGGGTTTCTCTGACTGGTGGGAAAGCAGATCCAGGGGGCCTTCTCCCAGGGAAGGGGAGGTGATGTCTGTGTGGAATGAGCCAGAGCTGCTCTAGGGAAACTAGCTCAGTGACCACTGGACAAGGCTGCCTGGGCCTGGCCAATAGCCATCTCCTCACCGACAACACATCATCACATCTAGAGGATCGCCTTGTCTCAGGAAAGACAAAACCTTTTCTAAATAGGGTCCTGCAGAGACTCTGGCCCATGCTCTCAATGGGGTGCCATTCAAGGAAGGGTTCTATCACATGATCCATTTGAAGAGCAAGCAACAACATTACAACTGGACTTTTCAGGATCCTAACAGTTCCCACAAGGAATCTCCTAGAGGAAGTACTATCCTAGAGGAAGCGCACACCCCTGTCCTCTCTCTCTCTTTACCTACCCCAGGTGTCTGCATCAGACTGTCAAGTATTCTCACTTGCACTCAATCACCAAAGCACTACAGATACAGCCAACCTGGCCTGCTGACCATGGCCCACTCCACCTGCTGGTCAAGGGCAGATTCTGGAGCCAGTCCAGGTCTGCAGCCCACTCAGCACCCCTTACCCAGTCCTGCAAAGACACAAAACATCCCTCTACCTGCTGCATAGGCCAGCCCAGCTCCCCAGCCCCCTTCATAGAGTAGAAGTCCAAGACCCTGAACTGTCACCATCCCTGAGAAATGTTCTGACTGGACAGAGTTTGCCACTCCCTAACTCCCTTCCTCTAATAACTGCCCACCAGGGGTCCCACCACATTTACCTAGTGAGGCTGGATGAAGGTGAACCTGGTCCTTGTCTTTGTGTCTCCCAGTCTTCACAGGAGAGGAAAGGTGGACCCGGAGGTCCAAGGAGACCCAGGCAGACAGCACTACAAGAGAGGCTGTTTGCCTGGCCTGAGATGGACCTCCACAGAACTCAGATGTGACCTGCCCCACAAAGGTCTTCGAAACACCAGGACTGGGGCCTCCCTGGTGGCGCAAGGGGGTTAAGCACCGGACTATGAAGCAATTCGCAGCCTCTGCAGCATGAGTTCAATCCCCAGCCCACCAGGGAGAAACCCACATGGCGAAGCAGACCTCTCCAGTCTCACCCACTGCTCCCCTCAGCAGTGTGTTTCAGTCAGTCTGCCTGTTATGTTCCCCACTCTGTCTCTGGTGAATCCTCTCACCCCCTGCATATCCAGCCTGTACCCCAGCTCTTGTATGCATAAATAAATAAATCTTAAAAAAAAAATGCCAGGACTAAGCCAGCTACAGTGAGGGGGCCTGGCATCATGAGTGATCTTCAGCTGGCCCCAGATGACAACTTTCAAATACAGAAGTGGCAGACCCAGAGCAAGAAGGGCCTGCTCCTCAGCCCTCTACCAAGGCTGTCTTTGGCAGGGGCTAGGGGCCATGGGGGCAGAAGGCAGCAGGCAGCCCACAGGCAGATTCATATACTCATGCAGGGCCTCAAAGCAAAGCCAGCGCCTCCTTCTGCCTCTCACCCTTTATCAGAAGTGCCGGGTTGTGCTGGTTGCAAGCGTTTCTCATATGGCAGATGTAATACTCAGGTCCCACAAAACAGATCAAAGAGTGAGGCTGAGACGCTGCTAGATCTAGAGCCTTGGTGGGCAAAACTGCTTCACAATTAGTCTAGTTCACATATCCATGGAGGGAATACACTTGGCATCCGAAAGCAATCTAAATATGTTGCAACAAAGGGAGAGGCTGCACTTACCGTGGCCAATTCATCAAACTTGCCGAAGAGCTCGTTGAGGAGTTTCACCAGCTCCTGTGCCGTGCACTGGGACGCCAAGCCAGTGAAGCCCACGATGTCAGCAAAGAGGATGCTGCAAAAGAAAGGGGTGCCAGCTGCCTCCTCCACACACATGCAGCCCCAGCCACTCACACAAGTTATAGCCCCCTCAGGGCATGTGGGCGCTTACCTCTAAAGTCACTTTAAGATAAATCACGCCAATTATTCCTCAAGGAAGGCTGTGTTGTTCCCACTTTACATGTAAGAACAAGTGAGGCTGGAACAAGCCTTGGTCCCTGGACGAGTAAATGCTAAAGGTTCCTGTTGACCCCTCCCAGGGCATGGGAGAGCAGCTCAGTCACCCCATGCTGATCCCTCCCAGGGATCGGCTCAGAATCTGATAGATGCTGTCGATATACTTGCTGTCCCCTAGATGTGGGGGCCAGCTTGACATCCACAGGCCTGCTCCCCTATCCCAGGGTAGTCCTACGACAGGGTTGTGGCCAGTGACACATGAGAAGATATGACATATTTTAAGAAGAAAGTGGGCTGCTCACCTGCCTGTCCCCTTCTCCCAGCTGACACAATGAGCTGGGTGGCAGAGAGAGCTGTAAGAGCCTCACAGCGAGGTAATGTGCTGTGCAGGGGGCCTCCCCTTCATCTGTTTTGGGGGCTAGGGGTCATACTTCTCTTGAGTCAAAGCCTCTATGTGTTGGGTGTTCACTTATTACAGAACTAGGCCCATGCACAGCACACAATCATCTTCCCAGACACAATTTCTTGGTTATTTAAAAGTCTTAAATATTAAACAACATGGAGGTAGACTGGAGGGTGCAGAAGAATGGAGAACCCTCACAACCCGATGTTTGGGAGTAGGTGGGGGGGGCCTCCTGAAGAGGCCTCAGAGCAGCTGAGGCCCCACACAGGGGAGGGATGAGGGAAACTTAAGCAGGGCCCATCTTAGGACAAGAAGATCTTGGGAACCTACTTGGGAGGGACCACAACCTTATCACAGACTACCACCCATGGTTCTCCTCCAGGCCGCTGGTCCCAGCAAAGAGCTCCTCAGTCCTGAAGATGTTACCAGCCCAACTTTTTTTTTATTACTTGCAGCCAAAAGCATCTCCAGTTATGAAATCTGGATGATCATCACATGTGTATGCACAGAAAGAGATGCCAGACTTGAACATGCATCTCCAGTGTAATGAATAAAGAGATGTTAAATATTTTGCTTTTTGACACAAATGTGTTCAAATCTTGATTCCTGATGCCAGATCTTAATTCAGATCTGCATTTTCAATAATACCTCATACGAGGAAATGGGGTATGCCGCACTTGATATAGGCAAAAAGTAGGGACCCACATCCCAGAAAGGCTTCTCCGTAATGAGGCCCTCACCCTACCACCCACTAACTTCACCCTGCTCATGGACAAAGAGCTGCTGTGTCTACCCCATGACAAGTCTCATGTCCTACTACAACCCCTAACTGCAGAACAGCACACCCTGTGAGACCCCCGAGGGACTTGAGGATGCAGGTTCTCACTTGTCTATCTCATGCACCTAACACAGAGCAGGGGAGAAGTGCCTTTGTTCTGAGTAAGTGAATGAGTGAAAGAATGAATCAAAAGCAGGCATCCAGGATATTACATAACTGACACTGAGAAGCTGAGAGCTGCAAGAGTTGGGGGGGTAGATATAGGACAAGGTTTTTTCTTCTGTTTTGTTATAAGGTTCAGACTCATGTACCATTTTTCCTTCCTTTTCTACTCTCTTAACTGATAACTCACACATAGACTTTTCTCTATCCACTGGCTCTCAGTCTCTGGTCATTCATTTAGTCCCAAAAACCTGACTAAGCCTTACCAACTCTCATGCTAGGAAGGGCCGAGCATTTGACCTGTCCTTTCACCTGAAAACCCTGTTGGAAATTTCCTTCCCAGGAGGGGCCCAGCAAGCTTGTGTGGAGAGTCTCTTACATGCCAGGTCCCGCTTAGGAGCTCAAAGTTCAGGAGAAGACTCAGAGCAGGAATGCACAGACAGAGACACAGCAAAAATTTCAATAAAGCACAGCAAAGCAATGATTTGGAAAGCTCGGAATCTGGCAGGAAGGCTGACAACCCACTTCCGTGATGCAGCCAGCTCTGGGGATATCGAGGGGGGTCTCCAGAGCATGCCCTGGAATTATCCAAAGAAGGAAGGGAAGGAAGGAGGGAGCCAGAGGTAAGAGCTTAGGACTGCCTTCGGTTTTACCTGAGCATGCATGTAGATTTGTGCTGTGCATGGTCTACCGATTCCCAGAAATATCCCCTGAGCCCTTCAAAGCAGCCGATGGAATCTCATTCCCCAGTTTTTCGAGTGTTTTGATTACTTTGCTATTTGGCTCAACTGTTATCACCACCTAAGGTTATGATTCTAAACAACTGCCACTGACTGTTTTCAACAAATGTCCCTGGACAGAGGCTGTTCACACTGAGCTTTGAGTCAGGTAAATAAAGTGGAGTTTTTCAGAGAATTTCCAGAGAGATGAGAAGGATTTTTAGATGTCCTTACTCCACATTCCCAATGACATCAGCCTGTTATGAGCTATAAATGGTATACTGACTTTGGACCTATCTAACAAGGTTGGTAGGGAGGGCAATGAGATGTTCACATTGTTTATATTCGGAAAGCAGAAAGACATCTCCAGCCCTGCTAGAGGAGCTAGGCTTCCACTGGGTTCATTTGTGATAAGGAGCTTCAGCCTCCTACTTCATCTCAGGCCGTCACATCTGCCCCCAGCATATCAGCCTACTGGCTGCTAGGAACATGGCACCTGCCAAGGGATATGGATGAAATTTTTCAGCAGTGAGGAAGCGGTGATTCTCCACATCTGTATTTGTCACACCAGGTTAGGGAAGAGGGAGGAAAAGACACTTGAGCAGCTCGCACCATGCCCAGCTCCACCTGCAGTCCTTAGATTGTTCTGGGAATTTAGTTTTCTTAGCAGGGGTCTGGATCACACATCATGCCTTTACTTACTAGAGAGATGCAGTGGGCAAAAGGGAAAAGTTTAGGTGACATCAACATCAGTCAATCCCAGGTCCAGGTCCAGTCTTACCATTCGCTGGCCAGGGAGTCCTGTGCACTTGCCTCACTTGACTGAACCTCCATTTCCTTACCTATAAAATGCAAGTGACTGGGGGCAGGAGTCACAGGGGTATGTTGACATTAAATGGAACAAAGTGTCCAAAGCAGAAAGGTTCACACTTCCTGGATGCTAATGGTGGCCCCACATACCGGGACTTAACCCCACTCAGCTCCAATGTGCCCCCTCTGCAGCTGCAGGGCACACTGGTCCTTCCTAAGGACAGGAAGGTGGGAGTGTAATGATGGGCTCATTACAAATGAACAAGTACTGCATCTCAGGGACCTAGACCTGCAGCACTTGACACAGACAGAACAAGGTCACTCGTATCATTTACTGTCTCCCAGTGGGCAAGAAGAACTGACACTGATGCCCAGAACAGCCAGAAAGGGACAGCAGAAAGGGAGAGCATGCCAGTTCTTCAAACCACTGTCTTCTACCTGAGCAGCAATATGTGACAGATTGATCCCAAACAGGCAACACTCAACTATTCTGAGTACTTGTGAGGTGAATGCACAATTTAATAAAATAAAATACATTTTAGTATGTTTAAAAACAAACAAGCAAATCTCAGAATGTCCAGGGATGCTGGGGTACTCCCAAGGCTCAGTTAGCTCCCCTGAAAAATGACGGTAGCAATTCCTCCTTCCTGAGGGTCTCTTAAGATGAAGAGTAAGGAAGAAAATGCCCACCCCAAACCTGGCATCACCTAGAACTACATTCAGCTGTTATCCTGACCTGGGCAAATTCCCAGTCCAGAATGCCACTGCCCAAACCCATTTCAGGAGTTCTGACCTCTCTAGTCAATCAGGTAGTAGAAGAGACAAAATGAGAAAGAGGGAAAGCAAATATGACATGCATGAGCTGAGAAGCCACCAGCCCCAGCTTCCTTTGGAGACCTGCTTCCCTGAGGGCCAGGTGCTCACTTGTGACTCCAGACCCATGCCTGACACCTGCTCCCCACACAACTAGGGCCCTCTGCCCACACCCATCATGGCCACCCACTGCTGTCATCACCTTCCACTTCCTCATCAACCACCACCTCCTCCATTACCTCATATTCCATAATCACCCCCCAATTTTCTACAATGCCTCTTCCATCACTTCCCATCTTTACCTTCACCCACTACTTCCTTCATCACCCCGACCTCTTCATCAGCTTCCACATCCTCCATCACCTCCCCTTCCACCATCACCCACCACTTCATCACCTTCTCCATCCCGCCACCTCCACCATCACTTGACACATATCCCATCACCTTCCATGTCCTCTAGCACCTAACCTACAGCACCACCTCCTACCTGCACTATCACCTCCTCCATAACATCTCACCTCTCCTATCATCTCCTCCATCACCCCTCATATCTTCCATTACCCCCAACCTCTCCACAGCCCTACACCTCCATCACCTTACCTATATCATCATCTCCCTCCACAGCTCCCCAAGCCCACCACCAGGCCAGTGCAAGCCCTACCTGACATTGTCATGCCTCTGGATGTAAATCTTGTGGAAAATCCTGTCTGGGGGCTTCAGGAAGTCCTCCTTCATCTCCATGGCGACATTCCGGGGTAGAAGACTCATGAGCAGCCGCTCCTGGACAGAAAGATGGGAGACAGGCCTGCATGATATGGCAGGATCCTCCTAAGTGTCCTCCACCCACCTACCCTGATAAGGCTGACACTGAGGACCTGACCTCTTAGTGGCTGCAGACCCTCCTCGAATGCAGCTGGCATGTGACCCAGTCCTGTAGGCCCTGCCGGGCCCCTGGAGACTTGATGGCCATGCCCAGGCCTGCACTGTCACTGCACAGGTACCTTGCTCCTTGGATGCTGGGCAAGCACCCACATGGCCTCCAAACACCCTGGCTGCCCACAGCACCCCTCACTGTTCCTTGCACTCTCCCATCATTGGCCTCACCCTTCACCCCATGCACAACACCAGCCCAAGAGAGACTCTCCATGATGGCCGACAAAAGCCTCTGTCCCCTGGGACAGCCAGGATCCCCTTGTTTTCACAGAAACAAGTAGTCTTGGAGAAAATGTGACAGTTTCTGCACATGGGTCAGACAGAACTTTCCTTGACCCCCAGCGGATGGAATAAACGTGTGGGCTTTACTACAAAAGGAGCTGGGTCACCTTGGGGACTCCTGAACCCTTCCCGGGCTGAAGTCAGGACTTAGCCTCTCCTCCTACTTTCCCTGCCCTCAACCCTGCCAGCCCGTGACCAGCTGGCCATAACCACGTCAGAGAACCCGTGTTCCAGAAACTGGGCGAGACCCATGCCTCCCTCAGTGCCTCTCTCTCCCCTCCCCACTCTACTGGAAAGGAAACAAAGGAATGAACTTCAGACATGACAGAAAACTAAGGAGGACATCCTAGTGGCCAAGGCAAAGCAGGTAAGATGTGAAGAAGCAGCCCTGCCTCGCTCAGCTCCAGCCAGCAGTCCCCACGCTCCTCTCCAGGCCCACTGCCTGTCCCTTCCAAAGAGGAAGGCATCTGGGCTCTGGCCTGTCTCCGCCGGCATGGAGCAGGGTGGCCAGTGCAGCTCTGAGGCCACCTCTGTGACCAGGAGCAGCCCCAATCCACGTGAGGTCCTCAGAAGGACAATGGGAACAGCAGCAGTGACAAGAGTCTTGCAGATCCTGAAAGCCCAGCAGATTTCTGGGAAGTGGCCAAAGAGGCTCAAGGTGGGGGTGTGAAAGTTTCACCCACTTTGGTTCCAGAATTCACATTGATTTTAGGATAGGAGAGTCCATTTAATATGTCTCCATTTAAACTTGTGAGGCAACTGGCCAGGTGTACTCCTGCCAGATGTAAGTGGAGTAAGTATGTGCAACCAGGCAAGGCTGCCTTGATCCTAGCCCCAGAGCTCAAGGCCCCGACTCTGGGGCCTGAATGAGGCCTGAAACTACACTGAAGGTCCACTTGCTGTGGCCCCATGCAGTTCCTGCTGGACAGACCCCAGCACAGAGGAGGATCCTGCAACAGCACAAATGCCGTGACCACACCACATTAGGTCACATGAAGAGGACCCTCCAAGACCTGGCTACATGCCTGCACTCTGACACAGAAGTGTGCAGGGACAAGTTTCAAGAACAAAGGCAGAGACCCCACCACACAGCTTGAGCCTGATGGTGGGGAGGGGTACACTGCTCCCCTCCCTTGGTTAAGGGGCTTATGAGGACATGGCCTGTGGAAAGGGGCCATTGCAGACTGCCAGCTATACTTGAGGTGGAGGGAACCTGGGCAGGGTGCTTACTCGAGTCTCTGCTTCAAGAGACCAGGAGCAGAGTCAGCAGTGCAGACACACCTGGAGGCTTCTGGAGAATATCACCTCTCTGAGGTACAAATCACAAAAACAGAAGTAGGCGGACAGCACAAGCCACCTCAGGAAAGTGGTCTGAGAGCACAGCACAGCCTTGCATATTCTCACACAGCCCCAGTGTCATGCAGCATCAACAACCCTGAGCCCTCGGGCTGCCCTGCCATACCTATGGGCTCAGGGAGGCAGCACCTGCACCCTAAGTATCCACACAAAAGGTCTCCAGGACAAGGAGCATGTGGTGCCCTGCAGACGCTCCCTGGCATCACATCCAAGCTTGGCCACTCTGGGTGGGCAGTTTATTCCATCATGTCTGGCGGGCAGTGCCAGCACAACCTGCACGGAACGTACTGACCCAGGCCTCAGGCCCTGCTGAGCCGTGGTACTCTGTGCTCAGCATCATGTCCCACAGGACCTCAACTTCAGCTCAGCGACTCCCCTGCTTCCTTTCAAATCTCTCACCTGCATCCACAAACACAAGGAGGCCCACCAGGGTCAAGTCCAGCAAAACTTCCCTTTCTTAGTGCCATGTTAACCTCCTTCACCTTCTCCACACATGCCCACCCAGGCCCTGGCCCCGCGCTCCTTGAGGAGCTGTGACCTGAGCTGGGTCGGGCCATAGTAGGGCCTCAGGGACTCCTGCTGTTCACATCACCTCAGCTGCCCTGTCTGCTCTGGACTGAGCACCGGGAAACTGAGTCAGCCACAGACCCAGGGGCTACACCAGAAAAGAAGGAAATGAAAAGGCAGAGGAAACCCTAACCTGCCCTGGACCTCAAGAGATGGCTGGAGAGCATCCAGAGGTGCCGCAGATGCCAACCCCACAGGAAGCCTGGGTGTGTGGCTCCTAGCACAGGGAGCATGGTGCCGAGGCACGGGTGCTGGGAGAGGTGGCTGCAGCAGGGACAGCCGCCGTCCTGGCCCCACGGTCCCCACAGCCTTCTCTAGCTCCACAATCTAGCCCTAATTTTCCCCTGAGGACTTGGTGAGCTGAATGAACACTGTATTGTCCAGCCTACTGTGCAGGTAAATGTGGCCAAGGAAGTAAGAGTTGAAGGGTCATGTGAGATCTAGAATATTCCCTAAACACAGCCCACTTCTTGCTCTCTACTCCCTACTGGCCTGGGATACAGATATGATGTCTGGATATCTAACTGTCATCTTAGCTCAAGAGGATAAAGAGCACATGCTAGGCCTCCCCAGTGGTGCGGCGGGTTAAGCACAGCACTGTGAGGCTGTCCGCAGCCTCAGCAGTGCAGGTTCAATTCCTGGCCAGCCAGAGATACTCACATGGCACGGCAGACCTCTCCTGTCTTGCCCACTGCTTCCCTCAGCAGTGCCTTCTCTCTGTCTGCCTGTTCTGCTCCCTGCTGTCTCCGGTGAATTCTCTTACCCTCCCCTGCCTCTGGCCTGTACCCCAGTTCTTGTATAAATAAAATAAATCTTTTTTTTTAAAAAAAGAGCACATGCTAATGCGGCCAGACACTTAACTAAATGGACACCAGGTTAGGAGACTTTCATGGATCAGAGCTATCACACCTACCATAAAGTGCCTGTCCTGGGATATGTGTATAAGAGAAAAGGAGCTAGTTCACTTACACAAGCCATGGCCATAGGGAGACACTAATGGTAGGCTATATCCCTGACCACGGGGACATTTGCTCTGTCCAGGAGACTGGCAATGGTGCCTAAAGCCATCACACATGAATCATGGTTAAAAGTATATAACCTTTCCCTTAAGGAGCAAAAAAGCCATTTGCCAAGAACAGTACCATCCACAGCTACAAACAAAAAAGCAGCAAACTACCAGGGACAAAGAAATTCAGTGAAATCCACACCCAATCTCAAACTATAAAGCCAAAGCAGAAAAAGTATTAACATCAGAGGCAGACAGGAGTATTGCCATGTTCTAACCAGCAAAAATAAGATAAAAAGCCAGAAATCAAAAGGACATATCTGTGAATATGAGTCACATGCAGTATCCCAGTGTCTGATAAAAGCTACACAACAATCTTAATACATTTATCTTAACAATCAAAATGTGACTTGATATACATAGACTATTTTTTTATATTCATCAAATCTATGTTAAAATTCTTTATTTTATTTTATATATTTTTACATCATTTTTCATTTTTGCACAATGTATGCATTTTCATCTTGGTTATATTCCCTATACAATTCCCACCACCCTTATTTTGACCTACTCCCTCCTCCCCTCAACCCCCCTCCCCCGTAGTATGTCTCTGGTTTATAGTTGCTTGTTGATTTTGATTTTTAATTTATTATAATTAGTCTTTTTCCTGATCCCTTATTTAGGTTTTCTAAATTCCTGCTATGAGTGAGACCACTTGGTATTTTTCTTTTTCTTTCTGGCTTATTTTGCTGAGCATGATCCCTTCCAGCTCCATCCATGTTGCTGCAAATTGCATGAGTTTATCTTTTTTGATTGCTAAGTAATATTCCATTGTATATACATACCACATCTTCTTGATTATATGGACTATTCTTAATAAACATTAGACATTGAAATAACAAGTGTAAAGTCTCTGTTTCTGGGAAGGCAGAATATTTTTCTCTGTTCTTCCCCCTCTGACCTACTGAAAGTCTTGGTCATTACACATAAAACATTCAACAAAAGGTTCTGCAAGGCAGGAGCAAGAAGGCAGAGGCCAGGACTGAGCAACAACATGGAGGTGAGGCCCAGATTTCTTTCTGACTCACGTATCCCAGACTGAGTATGGAGTCACAGGTGTCCCAGGAAGGGACATAGTGAGGAGAGAGACAGAGACAGAGAAAAAGCCTCAATTTCTCTAAAAAGGAAAGCAAATAATCACATGAAAAGATGCTCAACATCCAGCCATTAGGGACACACACTGATCCCTCACTATATACCCATCAGAACTGTTAAAATTAAAACGTGACACCACCACTTGCTAGCAAAGATGCAGAGAAATGGGGCACCTCGTGCTTTGCTTTTGGGAACAAAATATGGTCTGACCCCATGCTAGAAAACAGTTTCACAATTTCCCAATAAACTAAATATCAACCACCAAATGACCAACAACTGCACTCAGACATTCAATGCCAGAGAAGTTAAGACTTTGTTCACACAAGAACCTGTATGAGGATGCTCACAGCAATTTTATTCGTAGCAGCCCCAAACTGGAAACTGCTGAAGTGTTCTTCAGTAGGTGAGTGGCTGAGCCAAGGCTGAGCCCACACCCAGAACAATGCTCAGCAATGAAAGGGAATGGACCACCAACACCACA